CATTTTAATATGGTACAACAGAGCCCAAGGTCGTAACAATTTTATCATATGCCTAAAATTTTTAAATTGAAAATAAAAGAATTTCTAGGCCAGAAAGAACTAATGTGCTATTCACTGTTACCTTGATAAAACTCATTTGTTTTTCTGAAAAAATGGAATTAACTATGTTAATTTACCTTAATAGCTGGTCTTAAAATGGGATAAAGATGGCCATGTAATTTCTCTCTGGTGCAGTTGGATAATAGGTATCAGAATAATATTTTTTTAAAGATCAATCTCAAGATCTGTCCATGAATTAAATAATACTAAATCAAAATCCCAAATTAAAACCTAATTGTTGTTTTTAGAAGATCTGGCATAAATATGTTCAATATTTAATTCCCATGTTGATGTAATCAAACCATATTTTATTTCTTTACTATTTCTTTTCTTTCTTTTTTTTTTTTTTTTGAGAAGTTTTCGCTATAAGGGCGCGTGTGCTCGCCAGACAGACAGAGAGAAACATAGAGACAGAAAGTGAGAAATCACCCCCCAGGGGGGATGGTCACGCCGCAATCCCTTCTCTTCCATTCTCCTCTCGGGATCTTGGGCACGCACGCACACGCACCCGGCATGAGTTTTAAGCCACCGGGTCCGGGACGCAAACCGCAGTTGACTACTTGGAAGTCCAGCGACATAGCCATTATGCTAACTGCTGGTTCCCCAACCATATTTTATTTCCATTTATATTTGTTCAAAAATGCATCTACTTTTCACATACTATCTTTATACACATATATATTACAAAAGTAATGGCAACACTTTTAAAAAATAATTATTTTATTTTATTTAACTTTATTTATTCATTCATTCATTCATTCACTATTTTAATTTGCCCAGAGAGGGGCAGAGTGAGAGAGAGAAAGTAAACTGCCAGGTCCAGGACTCGAACCGTGGTTTGCTATGTGGGGAGTACAGAGCCCTTAAACACCATGTCACCTGCTGGCCCGGCAGCCTTTACTTAATCAAACAAAATATATACATTTGAAAATAACATTGCATTAATATGATTTTACACAGTGAGAAAGGAAACTTTGACCACTCTGTCATTAAATTAAAAATGACAAGGTGACTCTCAGACCCACTAGTAACTTAGTAACTGTGGTTAAAAGAACAGTCATCGTAACAGTCCCTGTATCTGTTAATAAAATAAGCTAATTTGAAAATTTTGGTTCTGCTCTTTAATCAGTGATAAGTCATAGCATTTAGCTAGTGTTTACTAAGTCATTTGAAAGATACACTGCTTCATCTGTAGCATATGGATATAGGGTTTCTGTGCAGAACAGGTCAAAGGCTCTCAGAAACTAAAAGATAAGTAGGCCAAGAGGAGAAGGGTAATGTACTCAGAGGAAATAGGGAAAGCCAATCATTATATTTTAAAACTATTGCTAAACGTCACTAGTAATCAGGGAAATGAATACTAAAACCATGCTTTTTGTTTGGGCCTGTGATGTTGACAAAAATGAAAATGAACTATGTTTGTAGAAAATTAAACGTGTTCACAATCTTAGTGGGGCTTGCACATTTCACTCCATACATGTTACCAGAACTATTGACCATGAGCATGTATCCATGTGCAGCTTACTTGAAAAAGAACTAGTGCCTCTGTGGGTTTTGAAGTGCATTTAGAGAAAAGCTAGGCATGCACAGCAAACATAGCTTTAAAAGTGATGTCTTCTGGGGCCCGCAGGTGGGATAGCGGTTAAGGTGCTGGACTCCCACAGGATCGCAGTTCGAGGTCTGCGCCTGGTGACTTGAAAATCACACCAAGCACCGAGGAGAATGGAGAAGGGATTGCAGCGTGGGGGCCATTCCCCCGGAGAGGGATTTCCCACTTTCTCTCCCTTGCTGTCTCTACAGCGATCACACACGCCCTATAGCAACAATCTCTCTCTCTCTAAAAAAAATAATGATGTCCTTGAATGCATATCCAGCTAATCAGAGTGTTGCTTCCAGTCAGAAGGGTGATCAGCCTCTGCTGACTGCACTGTTTTTTAGAGTCGTCTTGTTTTGCTGTTTCCCGTCCTGACAGCTAGTCGCAGATCGTCGATACATTTCCTCTAAGACAGCAGCCCCCCTCCCCCCCGCCCCCGAAATGGTCATTAAGGGCCATTCATACATAAATGCACAGACAGAGTTGAATTGCTTTTCCATTTCTTTCTATTAGCTTCACTCAAGGATGGGAGATTTGATCCAAGGGAGAGCGGTAGTCAACGTGGGGCACTTTTCGACAGGGAAAGGAGTGTAAGCGTGGTGGTCGGTTCTCTTGTAGGACATGAGCTCGCCTCCAGGCTCTTCTGGTCTTCAGACCCACCCTTCAGGGCTCCTTTAGAAAGTGAGTGTCTACAGCCTCTGCCCCCTGGCAGGCTTGCAGAACAGGCCATCTGGAGTCACCTAGTGACTGTGCTGCCTGTCCCATTCTGGGAACTGAAAGTGTTAAAGGGAGTTGGAAACATTTAAAGGTACCTAAAAGAATTGGTAAGAGTTAGCGTAATGGCTATGTCGCTGGACTCCCATGTAGTCAACTTTGATTCGAGTCCCAGACCCAGTGGCTTAAACTCACGCAGGGTGCGTGTGCGTGCATGCCCAAGATCCCGAGAGGAGAATGGAGGAGAAGGGATTGCGGCGTGGCCACCCCCCCCGGGGGGTGATTTCTCTCTTTCTGTCTCTCTCTTGTCTTTCTGGCGAGTGCACACTCCCTATAGCAAAAACCTCTCAAAAAAAAAAAAAAGAGTTGGTAAGAGACGATCATTTGGGCTAAAAGAGTATGGTTTAGAGCACAATCACTTTAAATGTGTGAGGATCTGTCATTTTGATTTTCCGTTTACTGCTGCAGATGGGAAGCCTAGATATCACGGGAAACAGTGAGGATTTCAGCACCCTGGAGGATGAATTTTCGCTTTCTCAGAGCAGCCTCAAGCTGAAATGGGCTACTCTCCAAGCTGTGCCTCCTGTTGGCTCCAGAAATGTCTAAATTGGCATTCGATAGTGTCGTGGGAAGGAGGTTGGTTAGACCAGGTCATCTTCTTTTTTAGATTTTTTTCTTTCCGTAGGGAATGGGCTCTCATAGGAAAAAGAGAGAGACAGAGGGAGAAGGAAACTGAGAAGTCATTCCTGGGGAGGCAGCCATGCCACGGTTCCTTCTCTATTCTTCTCTCAGGACTTTGAGCACATACACACACACACACACACACACACACACACACACACACACGTGCCTGGAGTGTTTTTTTCAGGCCACTGTCCAGGATTCGAACCTCAGAATTGGCCATGTGGGAGCCGGTACCTTAACCTCCAAACCACCTGCTGGCCTGAATCAGGTCATCTTAAACAGCTCTCCATTAACCCTCTGGTTCCAGTACTTCTTAAGGTAGCGACATTTTATTCCAGGACTCAGGCCTGGAATCCTGAACCTCTTTAAAAAGCTCAGTGGAGGGCCAGCAGCTGTTGTCGTGGTTATGGTGCTTGACTCCCATGTGGTTGAACACAGTTCGAGTCCTGGACCTAGCAGCTTGAAACTCATAATAAGTGTGCATGTGTGAGTGCGTGCCCCAAATCCTGAGAGAATGGCGAAGGGATTGTGGCATGGTCATCCCCCCTAGGAGGGTGACTTCTCACTTTCTATTGCTCTGTCTCTGTCTCTCCTGTGAACACGCATATCAAAAATCTCTGGGGAGGAAAAAAGCTGAATAGGAACAAAAATACCTAGCTATTCTTTGGTACAATGGAGATAGGACTAAGTTTCAAAAACTTTAGTACAAACAGGAGAAAGCCAAATGATGCAAAACAAATAGACAGTACAAAAGGTAAGAAAACTGTCTGGATTATCATGTAGTTTCTTGGTTTTGACCCTGTGGCCCCTGTCCTAAACTGCCCCCTCCCTTACAATAGTCTTAATGGCCCTATGGACTGGCAGCTCCCCAGGTGCGGCCTGGATTCCTTACTGTATCGTGGGGAGCTGTGGGTCACTGGGCATATGAGTTTGTGCACGGCAACAATGTGAAGAGAAGAGAAGGCCCCGCTGCCTGGTGCAGCTGCAGTGCAGTGCTCGGCGGTGCTGGGAGCCACGTGGAGGACCGGGTGTGTTTCCCAGGCTGCTCGCACCTGCTCGGATGCACATGCTTGTGATCCTGGCTGGCTGGAAGGCTGGGGGGAGGACTGCAGTGAATTCTCTGCTGAAAGGTGCTTCTCCTGCTCTGTCTCTGTCATGAAAGAAAGAAAGGAAGGAGGGAAGAGAGAGAGAGAGGAAGAAAGAGAGAGAAAGAAAGGGCCGACAGGTGTGGTGGAGGTTAAGGTGGCTGGATCCCATATGGTCAACTGCATGGTCTGAGTCCTAGACCCAGATGTTTGAAAAACACATTGGATGCGTGTGTGTGCACCCACAATCCTGAGAGGAGGATGGAAGGGAGGGGATAGTGACGTGCCCATACCCCTTGGGGGATGATTTCTCACTTTCTCTGTCTCTCTGCCTCTCGGCCAGCGCATGTGCCCTTTAACAAAACTGAAAAAAGAAAGTATGGGCTGTAGATACAACCTTTTGTATGGCTTCCGGTTTATAAAGAGCAGTAGTTGGCTCCGGAAGTGAAGATGCCTCTGTAAGGGACCTAGAGAATGCTGGCATTTGTTTTTAAGGATTTATTTTATTTTATTTGCTGCTTTTATCTGAACTCTGTGCCTGGAAGGAAACCTACAAACCCATCGTACAGAAATAGACCCTCCAGGGTACCCTGCAGAGCCCCAGCGTGACTAAGGCGCCCAGCGGAGGCCCCACTCCACCCTCTCCCACACGGTGCGCCTCTCCTCCTGCGGATGCCATTTAGGGACCGTGGAAAGAATGTGGGCTGGAGGGAAGCCAGGTTATTAACCTCCGTAAGGGCCTGTGTCTCCCTTAGGCCCCATGTTTGCCATCAGCTTCATATAACCTATTTTCTATCTTTTTTTTCCCATGTATTTCTGTAGTGTCCATGGAAAACATTGGAGAACAAGGTAAAATATCTTCATTGTTACACTTTTGAAATAGTTTGGAAAAAGTGAATTGTGTTCATTTAGATTGGGTTGGGCTTTATTATTCTTTGAGAATGTGGAGAAAAGATAGGGTTAAAGAGATCTCATTTCTCTATGTCTCTAGACTGAATTCTGTTAGACACCTGGCAAAGGATTCTACCCTGAAATGGTTGCAGTCATGCCAAAGATTCCTGTGACTTCCAGGCACAAGGGTGTCAACAATCTCCTGTCCCAACTCAGGACACTATCCCAACATCGAGCCTCCTTTTCATGAGTTAAAGTCACCTTTCATACAGATTCAAGTGCCTTATTGGATAATTCAAATTTTAATGATTCTATAAACATGAGTACCCTCGTTCTTTAGAAAAAGATTATAAATCGCTATTAAGTATTACAATAGCTAACATGATATATTTAAAGTTCGCCTTATTTTATACAACTATGGCATACAGAATTAAGTTGTATATTAATAGATTATCTAGAGTAAGTCACCATCGCTGTAGACACAATCAGTATCTTAACTTTGTATACACTCGAAGGCTTTAGGCACCAAGATACATTTATATACATCGCCTGAATAAAACTCTTCAGGATGCTTTTCTTAACCATCATCCCATGTAATAAATAACACAAGCGAACTCCCATTGGAGGAAACCACTCTTTGTCCAGATGGTCTGTTTAGATGTGTTGTCACTACTGTCAGGGACACCAATTTTGTCCAGAGCTGAAAAGCAAATAAGCAAATAGCTTCTCAAATAGGAACTGCTTTTGCTTTTTGTATCAGTAAAGCAACGTTCTTAAAACCTGAATGTTCAGCATTTCATGCCATGTTGACAGAAGCGCCCTAGTTTCACAAGTTAGGAAGGGTCCCTGGGAGCCGTTCTGCCAATGGATGGGCCTATCACAGATCAGAGGGTTCTTTTCATGGGCATAGATCTAATTATACATTTAGGGATTTTTTTTTTTTTTACAAAATTCTTGGCTGTAGGTTTATTCATTAAGTTGTGCTTATTCTAGTATAATATAAATGGAGTTTTATAGCTTATTATAATTGGTAATTTGGTTATTTTAGAACGAGCAGATCTTTTGTGAATATCATGATTTGCATATGTATTTGCATATTACAGTGATAATTATGTTTCTCTCATTTTAGTTGTGTGCCTGATGGCTTATCATCTACTTTTTGCAATGTTTGTCTGGTCGTACTGGAAAACTATCTTTACATTACCAATGAATCCTTCAAAAGAAGTAAGTTAAAATATTAGTGAAATTATCCTACAGATAGAAATCAATGACATTGCTGTCTGAAGAATGAATTTTATTATTTTCGGTAATAAAGCCGACTTAATGTACAGTCCCTTTTTTGCATTTTAAAAATATTAATATCTACACATAAACATTTCATTTCTTTTTTGTAAAACGAGAACATTTTAATGTTTTTATATGATTTAGTGAATAATACCTTTGATGACTGCGGGCAAGTGTGGTGGGTAGCACTTAGAAACACCACAGTCATGGTGGTTTTCAAGACTGGCGTATCATCTTCAAAAATGATAAGGAATTACTTAGATGAAACTGCTATCAGGCCAGTAAGACAGCTTTTATGTATCCATTGTTCTCAGCATTGTTGGGAACTTGGGCATATTTCCTCCAAATAACCTTGCCTCCTGTGTCACAAGGCCCAACTTGCTCACGTTCACCCCAATGACAGTACCTTTGGTGATAACACCCAAAGTTGTATGTAGTGGGGTTGAGGGATTCTAATTTACACCGAGTACCGGCAGGCAGAAGGTGGCTTTCAGCTCAGGATGTGTTACATGGGCCTTCTTGAAACGTAAGCCCATTGGCCTAATGAATCTTTCATATTTAGGTGGTTTTCTAGTAAAGCATCTCCAACAAAGCAGACTTTTGTAGCCATCCTCTTCCATGCCTTTTCTCTCTTTCCTGTCTGAATAACTTTTAATATTTCTGTTTCTCCCTGGGCTCGAACTTTGGGTAGAGAGACTTCCCATTTTCCCGCTTTCTCTTTCCGTTTTTGTTTAATCATATTGGAAAGTACTTTAGCTCGGGACTGTCCTTCTCTGTCCAACAGATAGGCAGGTCCTGCTCCTTGTGGAGTCTTTCCATCATTCTTCTGTTTGGTGTTCCTCTTTTCATGCAGCTTGATCGTCTTTTTCATTTGTATTTTCTCAGCGTGGCGCTGTTTATGATAGAGCTTAGCCTTCAGACCAGTCATCTTTTTTGCCTCCTTTGAATGTTCATGAGCCTTTCAATTTTCCTCCTTTCTCTTTTTCTCATGATAAACCGATCAATGTCCATAGCATTTACGATGTGATTCTACTTATTAATTTTGTGGCGTGGTGACAGCTGCAGAATCACCGGGTGCAGCCTCTCGAATGCAAAGAAGTTCCCAACCTCAAACATTAAAATTTATACCTGATAGATATTAGTTTTGCACTAGAAAAATGTTCTATTCTAATATGAAATCCGTTATGCATCCCATGTCTTCATTAGAGGCAGACATCAGGATGAACGGGTGGATAGACATACGCAGATAGAGCTGGAAGGTGGATCTGATTCTATTATAATTATCATGGGACTGGGACCAGCAGATGGTGTACCGGTTACGTTGCTGAACTCCAATGTAGTCGACCATGGTCCAAGTCCTAGATCCAGCAGCTTAAAACTCGGGCCAGGCATGTGTGTGTGTGCCCAAAATCCCGAGAGGAGAAGAGATTGCGGTGTGGCCATTCCACCTGAGGGCGTGGTTTCTGCTTTCTGTCTCTTTCTCTCCAGCAAGTGCATGTGCCCTATAGCAAAAATCTCTCTTTAAAAAAATAAAAAAATTACACACAAGGTGTGTTTGTTTGCTGTTAGACACCAGAAACAACAGCACCAACAAAATTATGGCTTTACCTTGGAAGGTCTGTAGTTAGTCCACAGCTTCAGGTACCAGGGCTCCTCCTGTCCTGCTGCCACGCGAAGCCTCCATTCCCAAGGTCACCTCTTATTTCCCACTTTTTATGCCAGAGGGAGCAAGTTCTCCCCTCCAAACCCCCATGGGACCTGAATATGCCACAGTCCTTTTCCCACTAATTCTTCTTCCTGTCAGAATCCTGGGTACATGTATGTGTGCTTAGCGTGTTCCTCAGGCCACTGGGGTGGGACTCTAACCCTGGTCAGCCATGTGGGGTCCGGCTTCCTCCATGCAACACTTAACCACTGTGCTACAAGGCCAGCCCCAAGTCATCTCTTGGCCTAAGGTGGCTGCTCCATTTTCAGCTATCATGCTTACCTTTCCACCAACAGGTTAGAGAAAGCAGCAAAATAAATGCCCTTTTGTTTAAGGATACCATCTGCAAGGTGTTGACACCACTGCTGCTTACTCTGGAATCAGCTATGTGGCCACATCTCCTCGTGTAGGCGCTGGGCATGTAGTTTTATCCTGATGGTCATGTGATCGTCCCAAGAAAGGGAAAATGGGTATTGGGAGACTAGCTGTCTCTGCTACAGAAAGTTTTAAGTAGCACCCTATGATCAAATTTGCATTTTGGGGACCAGCAGTTGGCATAATGGCTATGTTGCTGGACTCCCATGTAGCCAACCGTGGTTCAAGTCCCGAACCCGGTGGCTTAAACTCACACCGGGCGCATGTGCATACGTGTCCAAGATCCCGAGAGGAGAATGGAGGAGAAGAGATTGCTGCGTGGCTATCCTTCCGGGGGGTGATTTCTTGCTTTCTGTCTCTCTGTCTCTCTCTGTCTTTCCAGTGAGCACATGTGCCTTATAGCAAAAACATCTCAAAAAAAATTGTATTTTGAAAATATTCTGTTTGTTTGAGCCTTCCATCCTGGCTAAGTGATTTTGGAGCCAAGGATGGTGTCTTACTGATTTTTGTATCCTGGGCCTTTAGTCCAGCCCATGTTTGTTGAAAAGAAAGGAGCTATGACTATGTTGGCAGTAATAGCAGTGTAGTTTTAGTAGGCTAAACCTAAAATATAAATTTCAGAAACGACATTGCTGTAGATCGTTTCCTGAAGTCGTAAGTTTGACACGCAGCTGTGGTCACGAGCTGCAGGGCCTGGGAAAGGGCATGAAGACAAAACCATGGATACTTGCACAGAGTGAGGGGCGCGGGGCCTCGCGTGCTTACGCATGGCCTTGTTCCTCTGCTCTCCACTTCTTGTCCTTTTCCTGCCTCTTTCCTCCCTCCTACCATGTTTTCTTCTTGTCTGTCACATCTCTCAGGCCCATCCTGGCCTTAGCTATAGGTCTGAAGAAAAATACTGACTTCCGTTATATGTGATCTCATTCACTCTGGTGGTTTACCCACAGCGTATCCGTCGGTAACTCCAACCTTGTTCCCATCTCTGAATTCTTCTCCATTTCACCTTAGATATCTCTCGGCCAGACATAGCTCCTTGATCACTCCACGGATGCCTCAAATACAGAATATCCAAACCAGAAGTTACCACCCCGTCCTTCCCCACACTGTGGCTCATCTGTTCTTACGTCAGTGGACGCCACTGGCACCCACCTCACCGTAGCAGCCAGGGCCCTGGGCGCCATGCTGGAACCCTTCCTCTGCCTCACCTCTCCCCCAGAGTCTACTTCCTACTGATGCTCTCACTTCCAATTGTTTCCTTCTACTCCAGCTTCTTTTTCCTCATCCTTGCCCTAACTCAGGATCTCAGTCTTCTCTCCTGTGAGAGACATCCTAGTCTCTTCCTGTGGGCGTCTCTATTTACGGTCTGGCCTGCATTCACATCCCAGAAATCCCTCCTCCACCCTGAAGCTGAAGTGCTCCATCTAAAGGCAGATTAGAACATTCCTGACTGCTCGCGTTCATTCTGGGAGACTAGCCCAACATCCCACGGGGTAAGGCCATCCGTTTCACGCAGCAGAGATGACTGTTCTTGTGTAAGTTTCTGACTTCCCACTCGATACCCTACTCATCCTTAACTACATGTAGTTGTATATACAGTAGCCTTTTTTTTAGAATTATGTTTGTTTATTTCTTACAAGAGAGAAAGAGAGGGAGTTTGGCCACACCTGTAACTGGTCTTCACGCCGTGATCCAAGCCGGAAGCAGCCGCAGATCATGGGTGTGCACACGTGCCACATGTTCAAGGTGGTCTCTGGAGGTGAACCCTGAACCTTCCGTGGGGGTCAGCCTTGCAGAGCATTGCATTTTCCCTCTGCCTGGCTCCATGGCATTATTTTCTCTCTGGGATATTCTTATCCCCTTTCTGACTGAAACGAACAAGCATAAAGAATCGATACGGGCAGCTTGTTCTTGCTCTGTTTTGCTGGTTCTTGACTGTGTCCTGAACCTCTAAAACACTGGATTATCCCAGAGCTGCATCTCTGACTTCTTTCCTTCCTTCTACGTTTATCCTCTCAGTGAGTTCATTTCGCTGTATGACTTCGTATATTATCCTCTTGCTGTCGTTCTCAAATACATTAGCATGACTCCGCTTCCTAACCTTTAGGCCATTTCCAGCTACCTATTGGATATCTAGTAACATTTTCCAATTCAACACGTCTTAACATGTACTTCTAGGCAGTCCCTGTAGTGCGGCAGTGAAAAGAGGTGGATCCCAGATGGCCGACTGTGGTTTGAATCCTGGCCCCGGCAGCTTGAAAACGTGCTGAGAATGTGTGTGTGCGCCCCGGATCCTGACGGGATGGAGAAGGGGGAGAAGGGGTTGTTGCGTGACCGTGCCCCATTGGGGGGTGCTTTCTCCCTTACCTTCTCTGTCTCTCTGCGGAGTGCACACGCTACCCTCTGAATTACTTCTGACTTCCCACCCACTTCCGCATCCTCATGTTCCTGAAGTTCTCCCACACCACCCCTCCGTTTGTTCGGTCCAGAAACCGCCAAGTCAGGGCAGGTCAGTCCACCTGTTCTGTAGGCTGTACCTGGGACCATCCACCATGTGAGCTCAGACCCTCTCACTGCATCACCGGGCCCAAGCCACAGTTGTCTTCTGCTTCTGTATCTGCAGAAGGCTCTGAGCACTTTTCCTTGTTGTTTTTTTTTTTTAATTATTTTTGCTTTAACTTTTTCTTTTTTCATATTTATTTATTTCAGTTTGACCAGAGAAGGACAGAGTGAGAGAGAGAGAGGGAAAGTGAGAAAGTAAGCCTCCAGGTCCGGGACTCGAACCACAGTCAGCCATGTGGGAGTCCCGTGCCCTTAACCACCACACCACCTGCCGGCCCCAGTTTTCCTTGCTTTTGTCCTTTCCTCCTCCTGTGTGTTTTTGACACAGTGGCCACAGTGATCTTCTCAAAATACAGGACAGACCGTCTTCTGCTCAGAACTTTCCCGAATGTCTGAGCCTAGTGAGAGCTGAAACCTCATCTTTCTGGCCCACTCTTCCCCTCTCACTGCTGCTTCAGGCCCGTTGGCGTGCTTGCTGCTCCCTCCGTGGGCTGAGCATCTCCTCCTTGAGGGGCCTTGAAACCTCTTTCTCCTGGACGTGGAACACTCTTCCACAGAGACAGGACCCTCACTTTCCTCATGGGTGTTCCTCAAATAATACTTTATCGATGAGGCTTTTTCTGACCATCCTCTGAAAAAACAGTGTCCTTGCCCCTGCCATCAGTTGGAGCATAGGGGAAAAAATACCAAAATGTCAATTTATGTCCTATTCACTTAATGTTTCTCATTTTTTTTAGAAGGTTAATGTGTAAGGTACGTATATCAGTAAGCAAATACTCACGTTAGCAGTGGGGTTTCACATTACTTTTCACTGATGGAGTACATGAGTCTGGAGAGCACTGTGGGAAGAAGAGCCCTTGTTTGGTGGTTCAAGAACCTTGGGTTGTAGGGGCTGGCAGATGGTGTGGTGGTTAAAGGCACTGGACTCCCACATGGCTGACCAGGGTTTGACTCCCTGACCTGGTGGCTTGCTTTCTCACTTTCCTTCTCTCTCTCTCTCTCTCTCTCTCTCTCTCTCTTTCTCTCTCTCTGTTTCTCTCTCCCCCCACCCCACCCCCTGGTCAAATTAAAATAAATACATAAATATAAATAAAATAATTCTAAAAAAATAATCTTAGGTTGCCCCATTAATAAAATGCAAGGTCTTGGGCTAAGCTTTTAGTTGATTTATCAGTTAGAGACCCTTCAGTTACAAAATGAGTATCTTAGACTTGAATTAGCAATAAAATATTCTACTATAAATTCTTGAAAAACAGGGCTACATAATAGAAAGAAATAATGTTCATATTTTCTTATCATTATTAAGAGAATGTAGGAAATCTGCCTATACTTTTTCATAGCAAGATCGTTACATTAATGAGATTTTTCTCCCAATATAAAAGAAGTATAACCACACTAAACTGTTTTTAAAACACAGTCTAGGAAAAAAGAAAAAGATACAATTCAATCACACTAACTGAACCACTTTAGATTTTGGGATTCTTTCTAGTTACCTTTTGTACTCAGTGTGTACTTGTTCCAATTTTTTCCCACATGGTAGTCCATCCTTGGTTTATCTTTATTTTTAGTAATAGCATAATTTTCCAGCTGAAATATGTAAAAATCTGCTTAGTCACATCCCATGTTGGATTTTTAGAGTGATGCCAACTTTTCATATTATAAATGCTGTCCTTTAAACCATGTGTAAGCTGTTGTTCAGAAAGTTCCACCCATACATTAGATTATTGCCTTACTATAAATTCTCAGAAGTAGAAGTAATAGATATAAAGTCACTTGCCAAGTTGCTTCCCAAAGGATTTGGTAACTTATTATGCTACTAGTTTCTTAGATCTTTGGCAGTGCATGTGGGTATTAACAAAATTCTTCTTTGATGATTTAATTGGTCAAAAAGATTTGTTCTATTTTATATATTTTAGATATTAGTGAACTTTGTTTTTGTCCTATGTGAAAAACAGCTAGCAAGAAAAAAATGCAGTTCTGTGAGTTTTCTACTCATTTGTTATTAGATCTTTTTTCCCCCATAGTTTATATGTTCTTTTTAAAGATATTCTTCTTTAATCTGAAAGTTTTATATGTGGAATCTTCAGAAAGTTCTTGGGAAGGCCATATGAGAAAAGTATGTATGGATTCCAGAAACTTTTCAAAATTTGTACTGTAATTCTGTTTTCCACAAACTTTTTGAAGTCCTCTAATGGGAGTCCAGATTTTGGTTTCTCTAATAAAATAAAATCCTCTAGTAAGAGGAAGGTAGACTCCTCCGAGAAATGGCTGGATTCTAGGGCCGTGAAAGGAGAGATTTAAGATGAGCCTGGGGGAACAGCAGATGGTGTAGTGGTCAAGGCACTGGATTCCCACATAGCCAACCATGGTTCGAGTCCTGGACCTGGCTTGAAAATCACACTGGGCACAAGTACGTGCCTGTCAGAATCCTAGGAGGTGAATGGAGGAGGAGGGATTGTGGTGTGGCCATCCTCTGTGTCTGGGGGGGTGGCCTCTCACTTCTGCTCTCACTGTCTCTCTCTCCCCTCTCTGGCGAGCAACATTCCCTGTGGCAAAAATCTTGGGGAAAAAAAAAAGAGATGGGCCTGGAACAAATGAGCTAAAACACAGGGAGGTGCTCCCCCCACACGCACACTGACGGCCATCTGTCTCAGGGACAGCGGAGCCCACTGAAGAAACTTCAAGTGGCAAGTGGGAACCATTTGAGCAACAGAAATAAAGTCGTGTTGGATTATAACTCAAATTATAAAAGAAATAATCATGAGACGACTGATATAAATCAATGATCGAATATATAAATAAGTGGGGGGAAAGTCTGTCTTATAGAAGAATCCCAAATAATTTTTGTAAATTTTTTTTTTTTTGGAGAGGTTTTTGCTATAGGGGGCGTGCGCTCACCAGAAAGAGAGAGAGAGAGACAGAGAGACAGAAAGCGAGAAATCATTCCCCGGGGGGATGGCCACGCCGCAATCCCTTCTCCTCCATTCTCCTCTCAGGATCTTGGACACGTATGCACACGCGCCTGGCGTGAGTTTTAAGCCACCAGGTCCAGGACGCGAACCACAGTCAACTACATGGGAGTCCAGCGACATAGCCATTATGCTACCTGCTGGTCCCATTTTCCACTGTTTTTTATTTATCATTTTATCACGTCCGTATGTATCCCTAAACAACAATATGTACGTTGTTTAGCTTGCTTGCTTTTAACATTTATATGATGAGAAGAAGGCTTGTTATTTGGAAATCTGTTGAGATTGTTGAGATTCTTTCCTTTCTCATGCACCATTGTCGCTCAAGAGTCAAGTGCCAGTAGATTCTGTCCTCCGGATGTATCACACCTTAATTTATTTATCCTTTTGTTTTTGGATGGTCATTGAAGTTCTGTTTAGCTTCTTTACATTTTAAGCAATGCGGTGACTATCTTGGTCTATGTCCTCTGAAGCTTATATAGACCTAACTGTTTTTGTTTGAGTGTGATGATCAAGTAGGAGCCCAAGCAAATGTTCATTTTTCTCAGATATTTTTTACTTAGTTGGGCCACACCGTCAGTATTAGATATAAAATGAACAATTCTTTTTTGAGTGTTGGAGATTTCATGTAATGATTATCCCGATGTAGAAACTCACTGAAATGAGAAAATAAGCTTGATGGATTTGTTTCTATGTGTTCTTCATTTTATCCAAATTAAAACAAATTACCCATTGAGCCATATTTGTTTATCGGGCCATTTTATCAATCAGTGTAAAGAATATGAAGATAAGGCTGGCCCTGTACACAGGTTAGGGTAAACACTGCTTTGAGAGCCGGGTCCCACGTGGCCAACAGCAGTTCACGATCTCACCCAGGGGCTTAAAAACACGGCAGGCACCTGTGTGCACGAGCCCCAGACCCTGAGGGGATGGAGCACTGGAGGGCAAAGGGTGGCACATGACCAGGCCCCAGGGAGGGGGCTTTCTGTCTCCCAAACACGTCAGGCAATTAAAAAAAAGAATGGCACAAAAGAGTTCCACAGTTTATAAGCACTTTTACCTTCTTTGTTCATTTCGATGTTCACAAACGTCCGAGGAAATATTATTATACACTTTCTCTAGATGCATCGTTAGATCTGCAAGGTTCACAGACCTGCCCGGGTTTCAAGCTCTGTTACGTCTCCAGATGTATTATATGCTATGAATGTTTAATAAGTACTTTTTCTGGGTATGGGAAAGTAGACCATATTATAATGCTTTGAAATATTGATTGAAATGTAAACTTCTTCCACAGTTCCATCTCTCTTATGCAGAGAAAGAGTTGCTGGAGAGAGAGCCGAGAGGAGAGGCCCACCAGGAAGTTCTGAGGCGGGCAGCCAAGGACCTCCCCATCTATACCAGAACCATGTCTGGAGGTACGCACCGGTAATGCGTGCTCTGGAACGGCAGCCACGCCCCTGCTGGGCTGTCCATCAGAAAGCATGTTTAAGTACTGCCAAGCGCTCATTCCACAGTAGTGTTATTTCTCAGATTCTAGTCAATCTTTCCTACATGATTCTAGAAAACAAAACGGAAGCAGGAATAGCACTGTGCATGGGCATCTCAGCTAGACCCCCTGTGCCTTTAGCTCTGTTGTGCCTGTTTAATTGTGACCCAGTGAGGACGTGGAGCCTGCTGACATCTCGTTTGGAGTAGTGTTCATCCTGAAAGTTTTGAACAAACGTTCCTCTTTGTAGTTATTTAAGGGTGCAGTGTCTATAATGACTGCAAAGTCAGTCGTTTTACACACATTTTTCATAAACTAGAAAAGCACTTATGTAAATTATCTAAAACTCAAGGAGGATATCAGTAGAACTTCTCACTCCATCTTTACGGGGTAGTACTTTTTTTTTTTTTTTTTACAAATGCAACTAGATTATGAAGCTTTTGCTTGGGTTATGTTTTCTTTGAGGAATTATTTACCTAATTTTATTTATTACTATTATATTTTTATTTGCTATAGGGTATGTGCAGTCACTAGAGAGATGCAGAGAGAGAGAGAAAGAGAGAGGGTGGGGGAAAGTGAGAAAGCAACCCACCAGATTCAGGACTCAAACTACAGTCTGCCTTGTCGGAGTCCAGGGTCGTAACCACCATGCTATCCGCTGGCCTCTTGGGGTCATATTTGTAAGGTAATTTAACAGCTATCTTATTACCAGTTGTCTTAGAAACTGACACACATGGGGTGTTTATACGAAAGATTACAAACTAAAAGCTAATTTCAAAGTTGTTTTGATTTCCTGAGCTTTTGCCTCACTCTGCGTTAAAAAGTTTCCTTTTTCCCCAGTGTACTTTGAAGTAGGGACTTATAACCTGGAGAGCATCTATGACTGCCCCCTAAAATGCCCCTAGAAACCCGGCAGCTGTAGACCGTGTTGCCATGTGGTAGCCGCTAGCCTGGTGTGGCTAGAGAGCTTCAAATGATGCTGCAAGTTATAGTAATAGATTGCAAAGAATTAGTATGACAACTGAATGCAAAATATGGCATCAGTATTTTTATATTGACTGTTGAATTAACATCTTGGATATGTGAGGTAAAAGGAAATTCTATTAAGATTCATTCTCCCTGTTTCACTTTGCTTCTTGTAATAGGCTGCTAGAGAATTTAAAAATAAACAGGTGGGCCCAGTGGGTGGTGTAGCGGTTAAGGTGTTGGTCTCCCACATGGCCGACCACAGTTCCAGTCCCAGACCTAGCTGCTTGAGCACCATGCCAGGCACCCATGCGAGGGTGCCCAAAGTCCGGAAGGGAGCATGGAGGAGAAGGCATTGTGGCATGGCCTTCCCCCCTGGGGAGTGATTCTTCACTTTCCCTGTCTATCTTTCTCTGTCCCTCTCTCTGGGAAGCACATGCACCCTATGGCAAAAACCTGAAGAAAAAACAAGTGTACATATATTTCACGTTGTATTTTCTGCACATACATTGGAGGAGCCGAGGAGACCTTGTAGCTTCTTTTGGAATGTACCTGTGAGACTTCTTCACTGAGGAGGTGAGCAGGCCAGGCCGCTCAGCTCTGCCCTGCATGAAAAGGGCATTATAAATGGGTAAATCAGACCTTATTTAGATATGACAACAATTCCTTAGAGGCTTTGTTGTCTAAAAAGAGCCCATTTTTATTTTTTGATTACTGCAGCTCTGTCCTTTTTCAGGAATTCTAATATCAACTAATCTAGCATTGGTAATTATTTTCTGCAAATAAGTCTTCTAATGAGTAAATGTAATACTGGATCATCTCAAAGGTCATGATGTGTCTCTGCTTAGACGAACAGAAAAATACATCTTGACTTTTCGGACAGCCCAATAGTTTGGGTTTCCGATCCTATCAGACTGCTCTCTGAAGTGCTTTCGTGTGGTTCTGGTGGACTGCTGCTTCCTTCCTGACGATGTTGCTGTACTGAGACAGCGTCCTCATCTCAGTCTCCTATAATTCTTTGGGAATCTGCATTAGAGAAAAAAAGATCCGGGCTTCAGTTGCAAAAACTAAAACTCTCTATTGGAAGTATTTCCTCCAGTACTCATTTCTAACATTGCGTCTCACTCAACAGGGTGTGAGATCTCGCCCAATTGAAGCAATTACTAGAGTTTATTCACAAATTTCTAAAATGTGTTTCTGTGTTTTTCTTTTTTCTCACCTAGGTATCCTAGCAGGGCACAGGCAATAAATTGATTTAATTGAGAGATACAGTCTGTTTACGTTGATAGAAATTATATATATATATATATATACACCCTTTGTGCACCTTATAAAACTAGTGATGATTGAGAACGCCTTAGAAAAATGTCCCCAAAACATTCTCTGTTCTTGGAAAGCCAGAGACTGAGTTGCAAAAACTAAAACTCTCTATTGGAAGTATTTCCTCCAGTACTCATTTCTAACATTGCGTCTCACTCAACAGGGTGTGAGATCTCGCCCAATTGAAGCAATTACTAGAGTTTATTCACAAATTTCTAAAATGTGTTTCTGTGTTTTTCTTTTTTCTCACCTAGGTATCCTAGCAGGGCACAGGCAATAAATTGATTTAATTGAGAGATACAGTCTGTTTACGTTGATAGAAATTATATATATATATATATACACCCTTTGTGCACCTTATAAAACTAGTGATGATTGAGAACGCCTTAGAAAAATGTCCCCAAAACATTCTCTGTTCTTGGAAAGCCAGAGACTGGCTATGGGCAAGTCATTCCGTTTTGGTATCTAAACATTTCATCTTTTTATGAAATTTAACGCTTCAACACTCTGCTTAGTTGAACTTAAATTTGGAGCGACGATAAAAGTCATGCAGTTGTACATTCAATGCTGGGTTCCATTCGAGACTAAGTAGAGCTTTTCGTTTCTAGCCATCCGGTACTGTGACAGATGCCAGCTGATAAAACCCGACCGCTGCCATCACTGCTCCGTCTGTGATAAGTACGACCCTCCTTCTCCACTGTCTGCATGCTGGGGGATTTTACGGAGCAGGCTGCTGTCCTCACTGTTCTCAGGATGAGCCCCTGTGGTCGTCACTCACGCTCTCAGCCACAATCGTTATCATGCCGTGCAGTAAGACCAGGGTGGCATTGGGCCACCACCGTTGCCTCCTCTCCCCACGCGGACATGGAGTGCAAGATCTGTAGCAGTTCTGACTTGGCTAGTTCGGTACTTTCTCTATGAATATTTCCCATCTCTCTATAGATAACACAGTTGATTTCATGACTGTGTGACATTGTGATATATTTAATACACCGCGAGGACAGTACTAATTGTTTTTTTGTTTTTTGTTTTTTTGAGAGGATTTTGCTATAGGGTGCATGCGCTCGCCAGAAAGACAGAGAGAGACAAAGAGATAGAAAGCAAGAAATCACCCCCCCCAGGGGGGATGGCCACGCCACAATCCCTTCTCCTCCTTTCTCCTCTCGGGATCTTGGGTACGCACGCACACGCGCCCAGTGTGAGTTTAAGCCACCAGGTCTGGGACTTGAACCACGGTCGACTACGTGGGAGTCCAGCGACATAGCCATTACGCTAACTGCTGGTCCCAGTACTAATTGTTTTATAGGTTAATATGAAAGGAAAAGTTTCACCCAGACTTTCCATAAATCTGTTCACATTTTACACTTTCTTTAGCATAAGATAGTTACATATTAATCTATTGGTTTTTCTAGAAAATGAATGGATGGCCACCTGAAGTTTGTATATCTTGAACTTAAAGTTCTACGATCATATCAGAATTAGAATTGGCTACAGTTTTTCTTTTAGAGAAAAATTGCTATCGTTCAGTATGTAACGAACTGACTCGTTTTGCGATATTTCACTGAAAGTTGTGACAACAATTCTGAAATAACCGTGTTTTATATTTTCTTATCGTGTCTCGTTAAAATGCTGTCGCTGTTTGGTCTTGTGTTCTGTTTTGCTCTTAGATGTGTTCTGAAGATGGATCACCATTGCCCCTGGTGAGTTGGCTCTATTCTTATAATGCCTCTTGTACGTTTGAATCAGTTGAGTCCCTCATCCATTTAAATCTTTTTATAAGTGAAAGGTTACCTTCGCTGGCCCAGAAAGTACTTGCAGATTTAGTTTCTAATATTTATTTAATTCCCTCAAAGGAGCCTTGAATCAGGAAAATGTCCATGAAATAACTTTAAAGCCACTAGGCCAATAATGCCAAAATTTATTATGCATGTTTGCTCAGAACAAAGTTTTCTTTGCATGCCCATCCATTAACACGGAGATTCTAAAATAGTTCCCCAAAGTATAAACAAAGATATGGACAATACCTCACTGGAAATTTCTACTAAGAAAAGAAGTCTTCTGAAACCTTGAACAATTCATTTTATGTACAGATGGACACTAGGGGCCAGCAGATGGCCCCGAGGTTAAGGCACTGGATCCCACTTGGCTGACTGGCTCTAGTCTCTGACCCAACAGCTGGAAAACCACTCCAGGTGCACATGCGTATTCAAAATCTCAGAGGAGAATGAAGACGGGATGTGGCGTGGCTATCCCCCTGGGGGGTGCTTTCTCACATCCGCCTTCTCTCTCTCTGTCTCTGGGGAGTATATGTGCCCTGTAGCAAAAATGTAAAATAACATATACTGACATTAAGGAGAACAGATGCTTAAACAAGAGTTTCCACTGGAGCTTTAGAAATGTCTAGTACTTCTAAGTCATGGAATAGATACCTGAATAGGAAATTGTCATAAAGGTCTGACTGATGGTTTGTTTTCCTTCCTTTTCCTGTAATTTTTCACCTCAGTGAGCATGTATCTCTGACAGCCACGCTCAGGCTGCCCGCCAACCAGGCTCGGTCTGTACCGTAATCATACTTTATAAGCATGATCTTCTTTTTGTTTGATTTTTGTTTTGTTTGTTTGCTTTCGTTATAGGGTATGTGCTCTAACTGAATAGACAGAGACAGTGAGAGGAAAAGTAAGACATAATCCCCCAGACGGGATGGCCACACCGCAATCCTTTCTCCTCTACTCTCCTCCTGGCATTTTGGGCACTCGTGCACACATGCTTACGTGAGGCTCAAGCCTCCAGGTCTGGGACTAGAACTGTGGTCAGCCATGTGGGAGTCCAGAACCTCAAGTCCCACGCCACCTGCCATCCCCGCGTTATCTTCTTTTAAGGAAAGGACTACAGAGAGTGGTCCGTGCTTCCGTACCAGGTGTGGGCTGCCACGTACAGGGGCTGGTCCTCTCAGCAGCGAAGAGCAACAGGGGAAGGCAGAGCTGCCGGTATTCTGTCTCTCTTCCCAGTGTCCCTCTTCCTTTTCTCACCTAGTTTTCTCCTCTAAAAGGAGAAAAGCTAGTCACCTCCTGTGAAGAGGACATTCGGGCACGGCCGTGGTGGTGCACGCTGCTAAGGAACTTTGCAGGCTGGGCTGCATGGGAGACCTGATAGACTCCTGCTCCAGTGCCTGGTCCAACCTGAATGCCAGGTGTGGTGCAACGTGCCGTATCCCAGCAGCTCAGGGGCCTGAGGCAGGATCACAAACCCAAGGCTGGTCTGCACAACACATAGAGACCTTGTCTGCAAAAGCCAGGCCTGGCGTGTGCCAGAGGTCTTAGCTCTAAAAAAGGAGAGAAAAAGAAAACACATGACATGTATTTTTCAAGAATTATTTATTTAATTTTTAAATTATTATTATTATTATTTTAAATTCACCAGAGAGGGGGGCAGAGAAAGAGAGAGAGGGAGTGAGAAAGCAAGCTGCCAGGTCCCAGATTCAAACCAGTGCCACAGATGCCACACGGCCTGCTGGCCCAAGAATGATATTCTTAAAGAAATACGTCAACGGATAACCCCTCTTTGTAATGGATAACCCCTCTTTGTAACGGATAACCCCTCTTTGTACTATTTACATTTGCAGTCAGTCTTTTGCTCCCCATTCTTCTCTCTCAGGCAGTGTTTCCTCCAATATCTTTAATTATAAGTTTTCTTTGCCTTTTTTTAGTTTTTTTTTTTCCCCCCCACAGGATGCATGTGCTGACTAGAGACAGAGAGAAAGTGAAAAATCATCCCACAGCGGGGATGGCTACACCCCCTTCTCCTCCATTCTCCCTTCAGGATTTTGGGCACACACACATGCGCACACACACACACACACGTGCCCGTCATGGTTCAAGCTACCGGGTGTGGAATTCGAACCGCAGACCACCATGTGAGAATCCAGTGACTTGACCACCATACCACCTGCCGTCTCCAATGATGTCTTAATGCTCCTTCTACTCCTCCACCATAGCAGATGCTGCGTGGCGCCCCCACATATCCTTAGGCCCCACCAGTAGCAGATACTGTCGAGGCCCCACTCGTATCCCCGGGCCGACTTCGTGAGACCATAGGGCACAGTGCCAGGCCTGCTCGCAGCGCCTCCCCAGGCACCTCTGTCTCCTCGCTGCTCTGCCCGAGAGATCTTCCTGGGTAGGCTTGTCCAGCTCACAGGCCAGTCAGAAGGGCCAGGGCACTTGGGCCCTCAGGGCCACCCTCGGCCAGTGCAGCCTGGACAGCTGCAGATGTTCTGTTCACTTTTGTCCCTTCTTGTCTCGAATAAACTTATTCAGGGTTTGGTCTAGGGTCTTTGGGGAGAACCCACACTAAGCACTCTGTATGGGCGTAGTTCTGTACCCGAGGTATAGTTCCTGGGTGCTAAAGTAATTAGGGCACAGAGCTGCTCCAGTTTTTTCTAACGTTTTTTATTTTTAAATGCCTGAGGGCGTGTGTATGACAGAGACAGAGAGGGAGGATGAGGAAGGGTGCACCCCAGTGAGGCATGGTCACCCCACAGTCCTTTCTCCGTTTCTCCGTCATGGCAGGACCCCAGGTGCACACACGCACGCTTCACCCATTTTTCAACCCACTGGGGCAGGGAATCGAACCCAGTCAGCCATGTGGAATCCAGTCCTTCTGCCCAGAACGTAGCTACTGTGGCACGGGACTGGCCCACGATTTTTCTAACTTTAACAAGGGAGTGTGGTGATAAGGGGCGGAGGGCGGAAGCCGTCGTAACTGACGGCAGACCAGTCCCTGCCGGTGCAGCTTGCCATGCGTCCCCTTGCCGTGCTCGCAGAAGTACAGAACCAGGACATCATCACTTACCGTGGTAGCGGTCTTTGTAAACCTGCGATTAATTGGGCTCAATAAAAGATTTGACAGCCTTTCACATTCTGACAGATCCTATGTAAGAGTGGAGTGGAATCTGAGCAAGAGAGGAGAAAGCACCCCGTGGGATGGTCATGCTGGAATCGCTTCTCCTCTTCCCCTTCCTTTCAGGGTCTTGGGCACGCACGCATACGTGCACAGCATGTTTCTCCAGCTGCTGAGTCATGTGGGGTCCCGCTGCCCCAACCACCAGGCCGTACAGCTGACCTAACCTAGACCCTAGCATTTAAAAGTGCGCTCCCACTGCTTACCTCCCTACTGTGTGCTGCTGCGTCTACCCTTGCCCTCAGTGGAGTGGGAGAGAAACTCCATGTTGCACTGTGACTTTGCAGGCTGCGGGCCCTCCCAGCCGCATCCCCAGCTCTGGGCACGCCCTCACAGAAGGCAGTGGCTGGTGGATTTGCGAGGACACAATGCCTAGGGAGGGCCTAACCATCACCTGTGTCAGCTGGATGGAGCAGCCATTGTAGGAAAAGCCCTGACACATTTTAAGATAGAAAACTTAGAAAAATACATCATGACTTTTCTGACAGCCCCCCCCCTTTTTTTTCAAATTAAAAAATTTAAAAATGTGGGACCAGCAGTTGGCGTAATGGCTATGTTGCTGGACTTTCATGTAGCCAAGCACAGTTCGAGCCCCAAACCCAGTGGCTTAAACTCACGCCGTTTGCATGTGCATGCGTGCCCAAGATCCCGAGAGGAGAATGGAGGAGAAGGGATTGCAGCGTGGCCATCCCCCCAGGGGGGTGATTTCTCTCTTTCTGTCTCTCTGTCTCTCTCTTTCTGGCAAGCGCACGTACCCTATAGCAAAGACCTCTCAAAAAAAAATGTTTTTAAATGTATAGGAAATACAAATTTGTATTTCCAAATTCAAAAATAAAAGAGGTGAATGTGTTCGTCTCACCCTCCTTCCCACCATCTTCCCCTGTGATTGGGAAAATAATGTTAAAAGTCCTGGGCACTTTTCAGGTAGAAATGTGCAGAGCTGTGTTTGTCGCCTCCCCTCATTTCTTCACGCAAATAACTACATGCCGGATGGCTCTGTTCCCTCTCTTATAATATTTATGAATGTTTCCATCTCAACATATAAAAAATATTTTTTTCAGCCATGAAATGAATGTAACATGTATAAAAGACCACCAGGATGTGTTAGGGTGGTCCCAGACAGTAGGCAGTCAAAGATGACAGATTCTAAAGTTCAAATCCATTTACAAGAAGTGGGCACCAAGACCTGTGTAATCGTGTCTTGTTATGGATGTGAAGCTTTATATCTGTTACCTTGGACTATTTGAAATATTAGATGAATAGTGCCACTGTCCAGCCCCTAAAACGTTAATTAAATAACACTTTCACGTGGTTGCCAAAGGTTAGGTACAAATAAAATGTTAGCTTCAATTTGTTGAGTGTCTGTAATGTTCTAAAAACCATGCATATAAATAATCTAACCCATTTAACAAAGACAGAAAAGGGTAGAAATTATATATCCCGATTTTTTTAAAAAAAGTTTTTGCCATAGGGCATGTTGCCAGAAGGTGACAGAGAGAGAGAGAGAGAGAGAGAGAGAAATCACCCTGGGGTGGGGGGTATAGCACACCACAGTCCCTTCTCCTCCGTTCTCCTGCACATGCACCCAGCATGATTTTCCAGCTACCAGATCCAGTACTTGAACCACAGCTCATGGTATGAGATTTCAGTGCCTTTACCACCATGCCACCTGCTGCCCCATGCATCTCAATTTTAAGGGGAGGAAAGTGAGCCTCAACAAAGAGTGGGCTCAACATCACATGGT